TTTGGGTGGACAAATGAATGCAATTTGGCAAGAATTACCTATAAGAGTATTGAGTACAATTGTTGCCTCTTATTTATTAGTTAAGCTTGTATTTTGTTCATTAGCAGTGCTGTGCAGCCACATCTAAAAATAAAAATGAAAAGAGTTTTGTTTTTCCCTACTTTTTTCCTAGTTATCTTCAGAGCCTGACACTGCCTGGCACAGAACTTGTACTATGCAGTCTCCAGTGGCCTTTCAGAAAGGCTTTTCAGGCTTTGTTGACCCGTTTCCTGGATTAGTCTGGCTAAGTTATGGATTATTTTGTCTATTAAGCTTTTTCTTGTGTCCAGTAATTCAAGAATGGCATATTGGCATAATAATGTGTTCCACTAGTTCAGTTTCCAAATCCACTTTTATAACTCTTTACAAAAGTCTGAAGTTGACAGTATTTTGATTTCACACAATATAGAGAACAGTTAATGATTTAACAAGTACATTTTGTGTTTGGGTTTTTTTTTTAATCATGCTTAAATAAATGCCTAAATTCTAGAACAACAGGAAGCAGGCAGAATGATACATTTGTTGATGTAGGATGTCAGATAATTTAGTACAAATTACAGATTCTTTAAATACTTGAAAACAGTGAAGGTCAGGAAGCCTCCATTCAAAATTTTCCAGCGTATGTATAATATTTTACAGGATGTCTGTCTGTAGACTGCAAAAGAGCAATCTGTAAAAATGAAGTTGTTTGTTGTTTCTCGTGTTGTCTATTTATGCCCTGACAAACGAGCATCGGATGTAGTGCGGAGTCTGCAGAGCAGTGTGGGGTTCAAGGTTACAGACAGACACGATTGTGTCTTGTAGCATGAGGAAACTGGGCTCAGGCTTGTTATTTGGAATGGTTTGTTTTCAGTAAACAACTTGCAAGGCTTCAAACAACACCTTGGTGGCTTGGTCAAATAATTTCATCAGTTCTTTAAGTGGTTTAGAAAAGGAAAGTAATCAAAACTTGCACTGTGTATAATTTGTTGGATTCCATCAGGTAAAAGTGTCCTTCATACTGCTGAAAACATGTGTTTTAAAGTACGTGTGGAGCAATAATTTTGTATTGAGTTAGTGGCTATCATCTTGAAATTAAGTAAATTCCAGATTAGGTGTCTATATTGTACACTTTAATTTATTTATGTTATATTCTTCTGTGTTGTATAAAGAGCATTAAAAAAAAAAAAAAAGATGAAGAAGAAGGAAATAAAAGGGGAGAGAATGAAAACCTTGTTACCAAAGAGACTGTCTGCACTGTACAAGCTCTTCAGTCAGTGGAAGTGGTTGGCCTGGGTTTCACTGTCCAAATGTGTTTTCAAACTGAGTAGCCTCTTTTAAAGAAGTTGGTCAATATTGGTGATTAGCTTCTCAGTGAAGGAGCATTTCTATTATGCAGAAAAAAGCTCTGAAAGAAAGCCCACCAAGATTTCAGAACCTCTCTTTAAATATAAATTTATTATTTCTTAGGCATTTGGGAAAGAAAAAGGTAAGAGCCAGAGATGTTCTCACTTTAAACTGGCTTTGGAGAAAGATACCAAAAGAAATTACCCTGATTATTGGTTAGTATTGGGTTTTATATAATAATGTTGTTTCTTTTTATTTATGCATTTTTAGATGAACTGATTACACAGACCAAGTCAAATCCTCTCATTGTGGTATATTCATTGGTATTGTAGGTACCTTGCTAAAATGAAAACACTTTAGTTTCCACATGCATGCACACAAGATTCCTAATGTCTTTTTTCTGTTTCTGCCAAGATAAAGCCATTTTTTGTGAGGTGACTTTCTGCTTTTTATGCATTCAGAATGCAGAAAAGGGTCAAGAGAGTGTAGAAAAAACTTAAATGGAAATCGCAAATTCCAGGTTCAGCTTGAAACCTGGAACGGACCTGCTAACTTGGAGGTGTGACAGGGGTTGCCAGACTGGAGAGACAGCTCCTTTCCCTTCTGCCACATGAGCAGCTGGCCAGTGAACTTCCTCTGCAGATTTATGAGAGATGTGTTTAGATGCCCTCGAGTTTGGTCTCTTCCGTAAGTGCTGCAAATAAAGCAGCGCTTTTGTCTAGCTCAGCAAAGCTGGGGCTGCCTCAGGTGCATTTGTATCACAGTAAACATTTCCAGTTCCTCTTCCATGGCCAGTTAGAATGCAGTGAACATGTGGGAGACCAACTTACAGAGTGTGGTGAAAACATTTGCAGTACATATTCTACTATGTGGCATCAAAGCTTATCTCTGGGAAATAGCTGCTAAGAGTAGTCATCTTAAATATCAAATTATGTTGGTGCTGATTAAGCTGCACTGAGAAATGCCTTTGTGGAGTACAAACTGAATCTTTATCTGTAGCCACTAACATGCAGCAAAACCAGACTAATTTCCCCAGTGAAACTATGAAAACCTCACAAACTGAATCATCCCTGCTTAGTAATTTAAATGAACTCCATTGACAAGACATCTGGAATTTTCTGTAAATTGAAGACATTCGCAACATCCATTTTTCACAGTGGTAAAGATAAAAATTGGACAGACATACAGTTTGACACTACATATAAGCATGAAGATTACCTTTATTATCTATACAATAGTGCATCATTTTGGTAGTCCCTAGGAGGCAATGGGATCTACAGCCACTGTGTTCAAATACTGTGAAGGACTTGCAGGTGTCCTCCTTATACATAAGTAAAATCCTGATTTACACTTCATTTGTGGTTTTTGTTAGTAAAGTTTTTGCAAAGGTGCTCAGTTATTCTGTACTCTTGAGAATTGTGTATTGTTTTGGTACCTGATGAGGAGGCCTATATTCACAAGAGATTTCAAATGAAAAATGCTGATACTGTATAAGTTGAAGGACTTTTAAAGGTATTAGAATTGAGATACTCCTTCTAGACTCTTGAATCCTTGTAATTCACGGCAAAATAATATCATATAGCTAAAAATACTGGTTTTTTACACAACTTGATTTCAATTGAATATCCTCAGCACAGGAATGCTCTTTAATTGTTTGCAAAAAATAGTTCAAAGTCAGTAACGTGCAGAAAATATTTTAGAACTTTTACCTCTCAGCCTAGATTCGAGTTTTAGGATGGGCAGAATGGAAATCCATCTCTTTCAAGAATTTTATAGCTGTAGGTATTTTGATCACAAGAGGGGCTTTTGTAGAGCATTTCATTGTACAAAATGTTGTGAATATTTGTGAGGCTTTTTGGTAGTATTTTCCTCAGTAATACCTGCAAAACATTATAGCCTTATAGAGGATTGTTTGAGAATTTTTGTATCTGATTGTAGGAAGAAATTGTCAGGTGTTTAAAAAGTATGTATTCCTAAATGTCTTAAGAAGATATTTTATGTGGAATGGAATGATGTAAAAAGCCCACTTAGCTTGAAAACAAAAACTTAGTTTAAAACAAAAAGTATACTCCAAAACAGTCTTTAAAATGGTCTGGGAAAGGAAAAAGGGCAGTTTTGCATAAAAGGGGCAGTTTGAATTTTTAGACTCTTAAGAGACATGTTTATAAGCAGGCAGCAGATTCTAACTTTGTTTTAAAATAAGTTTATGCACACAAGAAAGGACACTATGTCCAGTTAGCTTCTAGCCATTCACTGCAGAGTGCTCTTTCATTCACTTGAGGAAACTCGTTGGAATGTTTTTCTGTAACACCATCCTCACATTGTGTATTACAAAGCTCTTTGTTCTCTGCTGGCACAATATTAATTATGCCACGGAACACAAGGGCAGTCGTCTGCAACAGTAACTCACTCAGCCTTATAACAAAGCCTTCTGTCCTCGAGTCCTCTCAAGCCTCTGCCTTTGGTTGTGAGAGTGTCTGCAGGAATCCTGGAGGATGGAGTTTGAAAGCACAAGGTTTCAACACAGTATTGTGTTGCTGTTTGATGTTCACCCTAAGAATTAAGTCTTTTTTGTTCAACAGCCCTCTCTGAGTCCTTGTCCCTTTATGTTTATGAACTAAGCTTCACTCCAGAGAAGAAAATTTGCATCCATCATAAAAGATAAAAGATTTATCCAAACATGCAATCAAAATTACTTAAACAAAACAAAGTGTTAATTATCATGTTAGTAGAGTGGCTCTGCATAGTCACACTTCTTATTGGGAAGGTTATTGTAAGTAAGCAGTAGCTTTGTGAAGGTAATACAGGCTGTCTTACTGATAACACAAGCCATGTCCTCAGGGAAACATCATACATTCCAGCATATTTCAGGAAATTTCATAAATTTCAGCATATCTCACATCTCAGACATGTCTGCTTCTCAGGATGGGACTTTGTTTTAAAGGAAATATATTTTTGGTTTTCCCTGAAAGCACATGGCTTTGTCTCCTAGGTAAATTGTACTGTCTTAAAAAATCCCCCAAAGCACCCTATCATCTGATTCATGAGCCTTACCCTAAATCTATTGGGGCTTGTTTAAACAGTCAGATCTTCTTAGTAACACGTATTCTCCTTCTGCCCTCTTATAACCTTGTGACTCCTCAAATGCTCTTCATGGATAAAGTATGAATGTATTTACTAGGAAGTCTTTGTCATTTTCTTTTGAGCTCTGCTGTATGATTTTGTTATTTTTATCCTGCTTGGAGATACAGAAAGACTTAGAAGTTAAGCCTGGATCAGTGACCAGAATTGAATACTGGATACAGAGAAGGCTATGCAGAAGATACACATAATACTGTTTGAAGTCATTATTGAGCATTGCTGGGATTTGTGCTGAGAAGTGGAAATCCTTGGAAGTGGTGTTGAAAGGGAGATGTAATACAGTATATTTGAAATGTAGAAATACATTCAGATGGTATTTTAGCAACTTGAAAAACAGAAGGAAGCCGCACTAGTTAAATAAAACTTGGTACTTGGCAATTTATGCAGTTATCTTAGGCTTTTTGAAAATTCCTCCAGAAAATAGTACATTTTAATGTAATTTTGATTCTTTGGGCATATTATTACAGTTCTCTCTTCTTATTTTTTTTTTTAAGGAATCCAAAATGTACTCAGCTTGTTCTGTGCCGTGCTTACAGAAAATAAGGTTCTCTTTCACTCAGCAAGTTTTCAGAGGCTCAGTGATGCCTGTAGGGCTCTGGAGTCTTTGATGTTTCCCCTCAAATACAGGTGAGTTGAGTTTTCATTCTTTTTACTCGTTAACTGATTTTATAACACATTCTATAACCTCTGTTACGTTGTCCTGTACAAAAGGAATTGTGCTGTATTGTTCGGATAAGCAGAGGTTTTCGTGATCATACATGCAATTCCTAGGCTGTGCAACATCATTAATAAAAGTCTGATTGCATCATGGCAGTGGAAACAATTAAGGGAGAAACATCCTACCTACAAATACAGTAGAAACCCTACTCACAGCATCAGCTGGATGGTAAAACTTGACAGTGATGGCCCATGAGTAAATCATGGAAAAGATATGGAGGAGATCTAACAACAACCTGCCAAAAAGAAAGAGATGTGTGTGGCAGAAAACAATGGGGTCATAAACTGTACCAGGGGAGAGGGAAGTTTCTGACTGTATGCAGGGAAAATGTGTTTTATTATGAAGATAATTACGGAGTGAAGCAGGCAACCTATGGAGCTTCCATCCCTGTAGGCCTTCAGGAGCAGCTGGACAGAGCCCAGGACAACTTAATCTGCATTCAGTCTTGACCCTGCTTAGAGCAGCAGGTTGGATGAAATGATGTCCTGAGACCCTTTATAACCTGAAAGATTCTGTGGCTCAAAAATAGCAGCTGCTTTGATGGGTGTCACAGTTTGAAGTCACTGACAAATGTCTACCAGAGAATGAATTGGTGCTCTCTAAAAAGTTACATTTGGATGCATCATTTTGAAATGGAAAACTTAATGTCAAGCTGTTTTTTAGGAAGAAAACATCTAATCCTGACTCACCTGTTTCAAATCATGTCGAATTTTAGTAACTTGTTTTATTTAAAATATGTTAGAGATGGGCTTCATCTTCATGCAAAATTAGTAATGAATGTGAACTTTAATAACTATAAATTAGATGTTGAAATGCAGTGATCGATTTAGATCCAGATTTTCATGTTGCTCTAATGAAAACACTTTTGTTTTTTTTTTAAATCATGCAATCGAGTAAAGAATATCTGAAATAGTGTTTTGTACATAATATTTAGTTGTCATTTCAATATCAAAGCAAAATATTTAATTTAAAGATTTCTTACTAATGATATTTTACAAAAGGCTGAATTGTAGATGTCTGGCCCAAAACTAGCCATGTTTTTAAAATGAAGGTATTGTCCATAGCTTTAGTGTCCTTGGCTACTTAAAAGTTGGGGAAAAATGTAATGTACACATAACATAAATGTCACAAATATGAATAGGCTTCTCTTATTTTGAAAAATACACTGGTTTGTAATAAATTGTAGACCTTATAATAAATCATGGAGGTTTAACGACATGTTATTTTAACAGCATGCTACTTTATAAAGAGGTATTTACTTGATACTTTCATCTTTTGTATTTTTAGAGTAGTTATTTCTAGTAAATTTAATACATAACAGGAAGTTTTGCTTTTTTTTTTTAAAGAAAAAAGTTGCCCTATGTGGAAGGCTAGTCAGAAGCTTTTATTTTATTTTATTTATTCTTTTCACAGTTATCCCTATATTCCAATTCTTCCTGCACAGCTACTGGAAGTTCTCAGCTCCCCAACACCTTTCATCATTGGTGTACATTCTGTCTTTCGCAATGACATTCATGAGCTTGTAAGTATGTCTGGCCAGCTCATTCATCCTCACAGTGTCTTTTGTGGTGCTCAGCTGCAGAGGTTTTCTGTGCTTCAGAGATGTTTGTGTGAGAAATTCATATATATGTTCAAAATATTGTTGTGGAAAGCAAGGCAAGAAATCAAAAGAAGACAAAAGAGAGAAAGCATCAATTCTTTGATAAATGCATTGAGAGTGTAAAGTAGAGGAGGGAAAATATTTGATTCTAGTGCAGGATGGAAAGGAATGCATCCATTTCCAGCTTTGTCATCTATTTGTTGTGAGTTTGAGCATTTCACTTAGGATTTTTGAAATGTATTTTCAGTGATTTTATTTTGTCCTTTTTAAGCTTATGCTTGAAGAAATCAAAGCTGGGTTATGAGTGCTTGGAAACATAATTTTACTTATAGTTGCCTTCACTGTGTTCTTTTGCAAACAGCTGATTAGATATCACAGGTCTCTGAACACAGACCTGAAACATCCAGAAATAAAAATCATTTTTGAAAGTTTGGCCTCGTTTCACTTTCTTTGGTTTACATTCGTTTTCCATGACTAGATTCAGTAATAGGAAGTATTTGGAGTATTTCCTTTAGCAAAAGTATTCTGTACATTGAAGTTAGTACTGGTTTTAATTTGTTTATTTTAACTTATGTGCAGATATACTCACAGCGTGCACTATCAATAACGTGTTTGTCCCTTGCAGTTAGATGTAATCATAGCAGACCTGGATGGAGGAACAATTAAAATTCCTGAATGTATTCATCTGTCTCAGCTGCCGGAGCCACTGCTGCATCAGACTCAAATGGCACTTTCTCTCGTATGTTTTGATACAAACCCTATTTTCCAGCCTCTCGCCACTTTGTAAAAAAAGAAATATAAATTTAAGTATTTAGCTTTCAAACAGATGAGATTTAAAACTGTGATTCATGCCAACGTTCTTGGTTTTAGAAGAGTTCATTACCTGAGTTTATAGTTAATATAACGAATAATACTAAAATGTATTTTTAACTATTTAGGAGATAGGTAGTGATTTTTCCTTCTTAATAATGACTTTTTAAGTAAGAGTATTTGAGCAGCACTGTTACCATTCGGTTTTGCTGCTTCTCTGTTTTTATAAGTTAATTTCAACTGTACATTGTCTTGAAATTTAACAAATTAATTACTATTTAGTCTTAAAAGTTTATTTGTGTGATGCTCCTTTTTCACTATTCAGGAATGATGGATTCTACATTAGGGAATCACCAAAAAACGTAGTTTAGTTTGGTTTTTTACTATCATTATAGTAAGTTAGAAATCACCTTATTTGGAGGCTTCTCAGCAAATCTTTTAATCTTAAAGAGAAGAATTATCTGTCTGTTAATCTGTTTTGGATGAATTGACTCTAAAATCCCTATTGCTATTGATTAACTTTGTGAACTGTAATCAGGGGTTTTGATAACAAGCTCATTTCGAGAAACCTGAAGCTGAGAAATTAATCCCACCTTTATTTCCATATAGTCTTCATAATTTAACTCGGTCTCTTACTTGAGGTACTTAATATCAGTGAATATTACTTTGAGGAAGAAGATTAAAAGTAATTTATCTTTTTATCAGCAAAAAAAAATGTTGTTTAAAAATTTCCCTAGGTTTTGCATCCTGATTTGGAAACAGCAGATTATGCATTCCCTCCCCCACGAACAGCTTTGTCACACTCAAAAATGCTGGTAAGATTTCTGTGTTATGTCTGACTTTCTTAAGTGGAAAACTGTTGAAATTTAAGACTAACTTTCTCTTAAGGATTTCTGCTTTGTGTTTTCTTTTCCATATGCTTTCTAGAATTATTGGTGTAGCAAAGAAATTCATCTTGCCCTCTAATAGCATTCTAATGGGTTAGAAGTTTTATAAAATATATTTTTATTACTGTGGGATCACCTAATTTTATTTTAATACTGCTGTCTGTTGAGTTAAATCTGTGTCTCTGTCTCACAGACCAGTAAAGGTGCAGGATTTTACATGAGTGGAGAAACTGGTCTTTTTCTGTGTTTCTGTAAATGTTAAAATTACTCAGAAAGGTTCTCCTGTAGACACCCACAGGCCTCCACAGAAAAAAACCCTTCAGAAACACTAAAAATGTCATTATCTAGATTTTTAGAGTAAATATGAGTAAAGATAGGAGTGGTAGCTGTGTGAGCAAAACGTAAGCTACTGGTTTTACAAGAATAATGATAATTATTATACATGGTATGGTTGGATATAGTGGGAAAGGAGTTACATGGGTTTTAACCATAAGTAGTTAATTGCCTTTAATGAACTTCAACCTGAGTGAAACTGTATGTCTGTAGTTTAGTCTATAGGAGTGTTTAGAGCTGAACTTGAGTTGGTAGTCCAAACTAAAATCCAAAAGCCAGTTCAGTTTAAGAACACATTTGAGTAGGTATATTTGGAAATGTAAAACTGTAATGTGGTACAATGTATTTGTTTTACTTATTTGTTACTTTAAGATTGGGGTTTTTTCGTTGCTGAAGACAGGGAGTATTATCCAGATTTCATTTAAACTGATGACAGAATTCAGCTAAAATCTCACTTTGAATAGGGAATTTACAAATTAATATAGTTTGTGTCAAAATAAGTATTTTGTTAAATCTGAAAGAAGCAACTGTGTGTTCAAGTAGTCAAAAAAGTCAGGGTACAAATATGCCTGTTAAAATCCTGGAGAGCAGCAGAAAATAGGCCTATCTTATAAGGAGTAAAAGGGACTCCTTACAAAATAAAGTTAAAAATAAAATAACATCAATAATGTTCCAGTGAAGAGTTAAAAGACATCTAGTAAAATATTCCAATAAGACAGTATTCTAGAATCTTATATATACCTTATCTCTTTAAAAAGGCATTACAAGCTTTAACTTACTAGGTTGTATTTACTTGTTAATTATCTGACCAAGTGGTTACCTGGTAGTAAATATAATATTCTTTGCTGTGTATAAAGTTAGTTTGTTTAAAAAGTCCTTTGAGACACCACAAAACCTGAGGTCATAAAACACTTTTTAGGATCTCAGGTTTTTGACATGGCTGAGGTGTGAGTGGGTACCTGAGCTGAGATAAAATAACAGGGTGACACAGCGTTTGATGTCAGTCTTTAATGGCATCTGGGCCAGATGGAGATGTCCCTGCCCCAAGTCTGCCCCCAGCTGTTCACATCATTTCCATTATTCCTGTGGTGTCTGTTTAAGCACTCTCTTACTTAAATAAAACAAACCAGGACTTTAAAGATCTACTATTTAAAACTTTTTAAAGTAACTCTGGCTTATTTTGGCGGCCGTAGATTGGCAAGTGAAGATGTGAGTTGGAAGAGTCCTGGACAAGTAGCTGAGCAAACTTAAAACAGTGTCCTCATCTGGCAGAGCTGCAGCTGATGGCTCTGGTGATGCCTGGGATGCTCTGAGCCTGGGTCCTCCAGCAGCAGCACTGCCACCTTGGGCTCCCATGGTTCCCCTCTGTCCCTGCCCACTCCAATGGCACAGCTTTTGTAGTTCTGCAAAGCCACACTTACTTTAAGGAATAAATCTAAAATAAGGCAAAATAAGGCTCCTTTATTTAGTATCAGCTTTCTCTCATGGCAGTTCATTCATGAGGTTCACCACATGACCACCCCCCTGTTCCGCTGGCATTGCCCAGAGCCTGTGGTGTGGGAAGGACCAGCAGGAGTGGAGGGGTGACCGTGTGCTGAATTTGTCATTGCCATCTGAGGATGAGGCAGGGGAACAAGATGACATTTAAGGTCCCTTCCAACCCTAACCATTCCATGATACAACCTCATATGTGTACAGCTATCTCTGCTTCATGTGCTGCTCTGCTACACTGATGAATTTGTAGGCATTTCTCATATAGTTTTATACAAAGTGTGGAAAAGCTTACAATACAAAAATGTTTTGACAACATATTCAAATACTGCTTACAGGATAAAGAAGTGCGAGCAATCTTCCTTAGGCTATTTGCACAACTTTTCCAAGGATATCGGTCCTGTCTTCAGCTGATCAGGATTCATGCTGAACCCGTAATTCATTTCCACAAGGTAAAAGAGAAGCAGACACGTGTATTTAGTTAGTATTCGCTTGCACTGTGTTATTCCCACAAGCTTGCCTTTTGAACAAGTGGTTTTAAAAAAAATAAATAAAATTATCTGCATGTGATAAGCATGTCATTTTGGCGTAGCAGTATATCAGTGTGTTTTAGTGGGACTAATTACAGGGACAGTGAGGAAATGTAAAGCAAAGTTAACATTTAAATTTAATACAAATAAACATTCAAGGAATCAGTTGTCAAATTTTGAAAACATATGTGTAATAAGAAGACATTGGTTGAAGGTACTAGTTTTCTGTTTTATTACCTATGAGATTTAAAAAATGTGTGCATCTAACTTCCAGTTTTGAATTTAGATGTAAGAAGATACTATGTATAATAAAAGATTTAATTAGAAAGTACCACATACTAGTACAAGCTGATAAGCTGGTGAAAATGTTTGACTGCTAGTACATAAATGGTTGTAGTTTTGATCCTTATAAAATATGTGCATTTTTTTCTGTCTTTGTTGCAGGCAGCCTTCTTGGGCCAGCGAGGCTTAATTGAGAATGACTTTCTAACCAAAGTCCTCAATGGAATGGCATTTGCTGGTTTTGTGTCAGAGAGGGGTCCTCCCTTCAGAGCCTGTGATCTTTTCGATGAGGTGAAAACTGTTTCTGTCTTCCCAATTAAATTATGATGCACCTGTGATATATCAGCATGTGGAAAACTACTGAAATGCTTCTGAATCCTCACTGTTTATTAAATCAAGTTTATACTAATCTTCTCAATTCTCGTTTTCTACTAAGCAGATATTTCTACCTTAAATCCATAAAATTGTGCCCTGCTCATATATATGAAACGAAATAGTTGTGTAAATCTTGGTAATGCTGTTCCTCTTGTCAGGTTTGTAGCTTCATAATACATCACATGTACTAGTACAGAATTATTTTGAGTATTTTAATTGTATTCTGTGAAACATTAACAAACTCACTGAGAAATATTAAATACATATCCAACAATGTAAGCTGAGGCAAACAGTTTAAAATTTTAAAAAGTAATACCATATTTTCACTGTGTTGGCTTTTCAGTTGAATGTAGAGTAAAACCAGAGTTTGGTATTAATTCTGTGTAATAGTAGAAGTAGTACATACAAGAAATGTGATAGGAATGTTTTCAGTATGTCGGACTTTCTATGTTAGGTAGGACTAAAACATCTGGTAACAAAAACTCTATATGAAACTAAAAATGTGTCATGTTCCAGAGCAGCATGACTTTGCACATTTTTTGGTGTTCAGCTTTCTTTGCTTTGTTTCAGTTTAAGATTAACTTTTCATAACTTAAATAGGAAATAACTTTTTTTAGTTGAATTATAAACATTTTTATTCTTCCTTTTTTCAAAAAAAGTTGGTAGCCTTTGAAGTTGAAAGAATTAAAGCTGAAGAGGGCAATCCACCAAAAATGATAAAGCATGTTAGAGAACTTGCTGAACAGCTCTTCAAAAATGTAAGTTTACTATACCTGCTGCACTTGCAGAGTTGAGATGGTAACATTGAAAATTCTTATTTCTGAGATTGATGCAGTATCTGCAAATGGAAATGACAGCTTGTGGTAGTCATCATCTACATTATGGCAAAAGACTTTGAACTTGAATTTAATAATACTGGTTTACTTATAGCTACCGCTGCTTATCACTCTGTTTTCTTAGTGTGTATTCACATAATGTATATAAACTGTTTTTCTCTCTGCTGCAACCTGTCCATGCCAAATACATCTCTTCTTGCCTCTCAGTAGTTTTCCTGTGAAAGCTATACATCCACTGTGGCATAATGTATGCTTTCAGCAGATCTTTCCTGCTGTGTGACCCAGTCCCCATGGTTTGTGTGCTCAGCAGGCACTGCTTACTACTTTATAGCCTTTTTCTTGTACCCTTTGGGTTTCCCACAGTTCCTTCTGGTTTCAGTCTTGCCTTCCTATCATGTGTTTGTGTTACATAGTGCTTTTGTAGAATCTCTTACTCTTCCATTGACAGGTTTTGTTTTGGGTTTTTTTTTGGTTTGTGGGTTTTGGGGGACTTTTGGAGTTGTTTTTTGGCATCAGCTACTCTCCTTCTTCTCACACTTCCTGTGGTTGTTCAGACTCCACAGAGCATTTTCTATTACACAGCCAGTTGACACCTTTGTCATCCTTTCTTTCCTATGGCCCACTTCTCCAAAACTGTGGTTTACAAATACACTTCTATAAAAAAAGCTGAAGAATTACGGGATGTTTGGGAGTTTTTGGGGGGTTCTGTTTGCCTTTTCTGATGATGAGATTTATTTATACTGTTGTGATTGACCTGCTACTTCACTACCACTAATCAATGACTTAACAGGTTTATACTTTTATATTCACTAAGTCAGTGACTTGGGGCATTTAGAAGTCAGATTTCCAGTAGTTATGCATACATCTGTCTTTGACTAAATATTGTGATGAGTGACGTTGCTTCTTGAAGTTATGCCTAGAGCTGCCTGATTTTAATCTGACTGCATGACATATTTTGACATCTTGTTCACAGTTTTAGTAGTCATTGTATTGTATTTAGATGCATGTGAGAGATGAGGTCTGTTATGGAGAGATAATGTTTGTATTAGTCTAGGTGATACAACTGGAAAATCTAGACAAGTTTTTGGCATATACCACTTCAGTAGTTTAAGACATTAGACCTGCATGCCTAATAGCATGTATGTCTGACATGATGTTTGTGCTGTCCAAGGTTAAAGTAACTCTGTTTATTTCCTCTGAGTCTCTCTTCTCAGTGAAACGGATTGTGGAACAGTTATTCTCCTTTTCTGACATTTTCTCCATGCCCTCTGTTACCCCCTGCTGAGACTGTGTTCCCTTTCTCTGCCTTGCTTCTCCTGGAATCTGCTGCTCTCATCCCTCTAGCTAGATTTTTGGCTTTTTAAACTTTATTTGCAGAGAATATATATGGCCAAGTAGCTGGTTTGTTTTGAGTGCTGTTTCTGAAGTTGATGCATTTGTTCTCCTTGTTTCCTTTTGCTCCCATAAATGAAAGTATTAAGCTGCTGTTTGCAAGTTTGCTTCCAAGCTAGTTGTGCATTTGCAATAGAAACCTAATTGATGGAGTATCACTCTTTGTCAGTGGTATGTTAGCCAGTAATAAGGAATAGCATAGAGTCAATTTGGACAACAGTAAATTCAGACGTGATTAATGATAATCCCTGGTACATATGAATGAAGAGATGAAAATATTCTGGTTTGTTTGACTGATTGTAATACTCCTAAAGATATGTGATCCTGTGAATGTTGATAGGTAGTCTTCAACCCTCTGTCTAATGAAGAGATTGACTGTCAAATTAATTTCTGTTCAAGTCCTAAATACTCATTAAGCTGCATAAATCAACCCAAGTTAAGCAGTGATTTTCTTTTGCTGTCTTTCTTTTTGAATTTTGCATGTTGACAAAAATGATTTTATAAAAGCCTTTAACGAATTTGGAAGTATTACAGATAATGAGTCAAAGGTAATATCAACGTGAAATGTTTTATTAATCATCTACATTAGATATTTGGCTTCTTAATCTTTCAGGTATGAGAAATACACAAAAAACCAGTAACATTAGAGTAGACCAGTGGTAGCACTGTGCAATACAATTCGTGGATAACCTTTTGCTCTTGACCTGCAGGAGAATCCCAATCCCCACATAGCATTCCAGAAAGTGCCACGGCCCACGGAGGGCTCCCACCTGCGTGTTCACATCCTGCCTTTCCCCCGGATCAACGAGTGCCGGGTGCAGGAGCTCCTCCAGGAAGGCCTCGCCAGGAGTCAGGGGGCCCCCCCTGCCACCCGGGGGGACAAGAAGTGCGTTGTCCCGGCGGGTCCCCCCGTTGGTATGTTCCCCAACTTACCCATCCCTCATCCTGTCCCAGGAGTTGAACGTGTAATTAGCATGACTACAGTGTGTTGCTCCCAATTTTGTGTTAATACTGTATTTTTAGTGATCATAGTAAACTCTGGCACACAGACTTGTGCATTGGCCTTTGCAGTTTTAAAAGCCATTTTGTATCTGCCTTTGCTAAGAAGTCAAAACATCTGTAGTATGAGGGGCAGAATTGCTAACAACAAAAAAGGGTTTGATCTGAGTTAGATTTTGAGTTGAACTATTAAATTAGGTATTTTCTGCTCACCTAGGTCTGTTGAATATCACTATAGGTTACTTGTAGGACTGGCTGAACCAAACTTTGAACTGTTAAGAGTTTCTCCTTTGCTACTAGTCGAAGGCATCGTGAATTGCTGGAAAAAGGAAAAGAGCAAACATAGCATCTGTCTCAAAATTAATATATCTATATTTAAATAAAAATAACAAATTTTAGTGTCAGAAAAATTCTATTAGTCAGTAGTCATCAGTGTGAATGATGGAGTAAACCAGTACATTTAGTAACCTTGCAGGCCACGTGAAGCTGACAGAGCTTGCAAAACCTTTGAAGGGGGTGGGATTAGAATTCAAATCAGTCTTTAGAAAGTAGAGGTCTTACCACTGGTCTCTGTTGAATTTTGTCCTCCTCTACTGTTTTTCTTCAAATAAGGTATTGCACTTGCACAGACATGATCAGCTGACTAGGCAGCAGTGCTTCAGAAATTAATTTGGGGATTTTAATGACCATAAGGCAAACATGACCCAACTATATCAAGCTACTGCAAAAAAGACAAACATCTTAGTAGGATGTATAAACAGGAGTGCAGTCAGTGAACCCCATGGAGAAATCTTTTCATTGTGCTTGGTAAGGCCTCAGCTGGAGTATTTTTATCCATTTTTGGACACTGGAAGACTGTCTCCATTTTTGGTTCTGTTGGAGGGAGTCCACAAGAAAGCAACAAGAATGACCAGTGGTCTGGAGAATGTGACCTACAAGGAAAGATGGGGAGTTGTTTAGACTGAAAAATAGAAGACTGAGGGAACACATAATAGGAGTCTTCAATTATATCAGAGGCAGTTAGAAAAAGAAGGGGAATAATCTGTAATGATAAGAAATAATGGGTTTAATTGCAGCACAGAAGTAGAGTTATTTGTCAGCAAGATGTGGTAAAATGAGGATTGTGAGGCAGTTGAGTGGATTTTTTGTCAAGCCATGGAGTCTCTGTTATCACAGAACATTGGGAACACATTAGACAAACATGAGAAATAACATAAATAGAGTTGATCCTGTCTAGGGACAGCAGGATGAACTAGATGGCCTCTTGAGGCCCTTTCGGGGCCTGTTTCTCTTTGGATTTATGTAAGAAGAGGATGAACTCTCTTCACCTGCCTTTGCTGTTGACTGTGTCATTGAATCTGTTTCTTATAGAAAAAGGGTGTGTGCTTGTGTTCTGTTGTCTCTCTTTAAAAGGCTTGATGCAACAGAACATTTTCTTTTTATAAAGTTAATTCTTATATCAAAGGGGTTTTGTGGTTTTTTTCGAGGAACAGCTTTCACACTTACATTCCCTGCTGTCCTGTGTCTCAAAATCTTGGGGTATTAGTAGCTCATTATTATGTACAAGAAAAGCATATTCTACGTTAAGATTCTATTCATTTGATACTATAGGGAAAAAGATGTTAGTTTGTTTATTCTGAATTTTCTTGAAAAATCATAGCTAAACTCTGCATGAAGAAAATAATCTTTAGATGTCAGCAAATTAGAATCTAGATAAGAAAACAGGTTTGTCAGGTTTTATTCCATGTTGCAGAATTCTTGTGGTGGTCAACTAAAACCAGTTGTCTACTGCTGCAAAGTACACAAGGCTACATAGTTCAAAATATATATTTTCAAAAATATATTTTTGTATTTCATTTGTATGTTAGAGTTTGTAATCTCTTTGGGCCAGTAGGAATCAAATAGAACAAATAGTTAAGAGAATCCAGTTAAAATTCAGAGCACTCTCTTCTTTAGATAGTATAGGAAAACCAAAGATTTAGGATCTTATGTTCCTGTCTGTATATGCCTACTAATGATATTTGCTTAACAGAGTAAAATGGAGGGCACAGTAATTTTTAATTTTTTTTAAAGAAATTTTTATATTCTTTGTGGCTCTTGGCAGGAGTCATTTTATGGATGCATATTCTTCTTTCTCTTTGTTAGTTTCCATAATGGAAAAAGGAAGCACAGTTTTCAACAGTGCTCAAAGGCTGGAAGTTGTCAGAAACTGCATCTCGTTCATTTTTGAAAACAAATTTTTGGAGACTGAGAAGGTAATAAAATGAAATTTTAACTTTCCCAAATAACCCTCTGTTCTGTAATGAGCAAATGGAGTTGTTATCCTTGACATTCTTATTTCCTCCACATGAAGAAGTTGCCAAGTTTTGTAGATTCTGTCCATGGAGTTTTCAGTTATGGATTCTAGAACAATCACTCAAACTTACATTCAGACCTAATTCTACATATGAAAATGACTGTAAAATTATTTTAAGAAATTTTCTGATTTCTCAGGAAAGTATAACCTGTGTATCTATGAGGCTGTGCAGCTCAAGATAGAAAATGAGCTTTGCTTGATTTACAAATTACAGTTTCAAAATGCACATGGGAAAAGTCATAACAAAATATGTAACTCTGTGTAAGAGTTTTGATCCAAGTAGAGCACAGTAGTTTTTAACATCTTTCAACTAACCGTCACTTGGGAAGGTTCAGTAGTTTTTTTGTCCCTCTGCATGGTAAATTTGTCCTTAGCCAATAGGCTGCCTTTTGTTACTTACCTGTTAACACCATTAAATCGAGTCCAAAGGGCCACAGTTGAGAATCATTGATGTAGTACTTGCTGCATATTTAAAATATTGACTTAAATATTCTATTGGCACTGTTTTAGGATAAACTGCATGACAATCTTGTGTCCTCATTGCTATGAGAGGTATGCCACTTCTAAAGCCATTTGTCATTCATTGCTTATCAGAAAACATGCTGGTTGACCTTGGCAGCGAACTCAAGACCTGGCCTGGCTGGTACAGAACAGAGTGCTTGCTTTCATGCACGATAATCCATTTCTGATTTCACATCCATTCAATGCCTGTCTGTATTAAATGATTTCTATTTCCACATGTAGACGAGAAATCCTCTTTAGTTCATTTGAAAAAAAGTAGGAAAAATTTAATACTTGATAACTCAAGCTAAATCAATGATTATGCAAAAGTTTGATATTCGAAGCTGATGAGTAATTTCCAAATTATTCTTCACTGTCACTTGCAGTTTCCTGATAAAGGAAGAACGATATTCAGTGTGAATAGTGCCATTTAATTTCATTTTCATAAAGTCAGGTGTTCTTCTCTGCAGACCCTGCCTGCAGCTCTGAGAGCCCTAAAAGGGAAGGCAGCTCGGCACTGCCTGACCCAGGAACTTGGCCAGCACGTTAAACAGAACCGAGCAATCCTGGACCATCAGCAGTTTGATTACATTGTGCGAATGATGAACTGTGCTTTGCAGGTACAGTATGGCAAGGCTTTGTTCTTTGATTGTCTTTCTCTTGTTATAATGATAAGCAGAATTGCTTACAGTGATGTGGAGAAGCAAAATAATTAAATTATAGGACCGTGTCCTGCAGTGGTATAGCAGATACTACTTGGTGGTGGATGAAAGATATTTTGTTGTTGAAAGGATAAAGGACAAAACACTCAGATCTGTACAGATCTGCCTGATATGACAAACAGAAAGAAAACTTCCCATTACTAATAATTTAGATACAATCTGGTTTTGGTAGGTATTGAAATGATTTAACTTAATGGCTCAAAGTGCTTTTTTTAGTGAGTAGGTCTTAGCTTTTCCAGGTAATTTTCAACTCTGAGCTCCTAAAATGTGTATCACCCAAAAGTTTGTCGTCTTTGTCATCATATAGTTCAAGAAGAAAGCATTTTCTGCTTCCATGGTTCATGGTAGTAGTTCTGCTTGTCATGATGACATCTTACTTGGTCAGAGACACACTACAGGTGTTTGCAGTTCATTCTCAGTTATTCTACTGATAAAATACTTTGTGCTGAATAAACATCAACATACAGCAGCTACCGATGAGAGCATAATATGTGGATAACTTCTTTTCATTGCAGTAACTGTTCTGGTTTACCTTTCCTTGTTCTCAGTTCATTATCTGAAATATTTTATAGACTTACAAGATTTCAGTCCGTTGTCTGAGAATGTAGTAGTATTTTTCTTAATTTGTAATGTGATCACGTTTGGTTATAACGTGTCCTTTGTTGACCCTGCCTGAGTTATTGTATCAAATTAGGGATTTGATTGAGGCATTAGTATTTTAATCCCAACCTCCTCTAAGCTAAAACCCACTGAAATTGTTTTGCAGCAGTTTGTTGACCCACATTTTTTAAAGGTGAGTGCTAAATCCAGCTTTCACTTAAGTGTAGAAATAAATTTACGTTGACTGAACACACGGTACCTCAGCTCACCATCAAATGCATGTTTTGTTGTCTGTTGCATTTCTTGTTTGTTCACAGTAAGATATTTTTCTCCTGTTGCAAACAGAGTTCAACTTTTCCTGAGCAGTGATCTTAGGCGAAAAATTACCTGCAGGTAGCAGCTGAAAACTGAAGTTGACTGGCTAAAATCATACAGCATGTTCAGTGTGCTTTTTTGGCACAGGCATTGTCCTTTTCCAAGCCCAAAGTTTAGCCTTAGAGTAGGAAGAAAAATTGAAGTTATCTGTGAAACTGTATTTCTCTGCCCAAAATCGTGACTAATGGAATGCTGCACCTGCTGTGTATTCCAGAGTTAGAAATTTTCTTTCAAGCCAGAAAACAGGATTGTCTAGATATGCCATAGATTTTGCTTCTACTTTTTGGATTGTTCCTGGGATAAAACAAACAAACAAACAAACATTTTGTTTTTAGACAAATACAAATCCCCTTTATTTCTGTATCTTAATAGAAAACATAGCTGAAGAAAATGAGGAACTGAGGAAATTTCCTTTGCTGAGGAAAAACATACTGACATCACCTTTTAATAAAATAATAAAATCCAATTTTGCTCTAGAAAAAAAATGAGTTTTTTCTTCCCAGTGGTTTGAAGGCCCAAGAAGGACCTTAGTGTTCAAGAACATGAACGTGTCTGGAGTGTTACTGAAGTTAAAATAGAATTATTTTTTTCCTCAATAAAACTATTGACTCAAAGCATGCAGGGGAAACAGGTCAAATAAGGAGGCACAGTTTTATGCCCTTTCTTTCCCCCCCAACTGTATTTTCATATCTTTGAAAATATGAGATTGAAATTTTCATTTCTCAGGAATAAGCCTGGACAACCTGAAAATATCTGAACTCCTGACACTGGGCAGCTATTTAGAAGAAAGTATTTAGTATATCTACTTCTATGACATGTGAACTGATTTATTAAGATAAAATCATGATTTATAATTTCTCTGTGCACTTTGTTCAAGTGTGTTATTTGAAACAATGTGTATATTGTGACACTTTGGAGCTCCCCTGTATCAGTTCAAGAAAAAAGTACATTACCAAGACCTTACTTAAGTTTGCTCTTGCTGCAGTGGCACTCAGCAAGTCAGCATTTTGCTGTAGAGACATGAGTTCTGTTAGCTGCAGGTCATAAGACCGAGTAATTTAAACAGTGCCTGTTAAAAGACACAAAAATCTAATTTAAGCAATGTAGTCTTAACTGGAGATGTGCTCAAGCTTTAGGGAAATACCACATTAATTATAGTGGAGTTTTTGGGGAGAGTTAGATTGCAGTACAGCTTTAAGACCTCACTGAACTACTGGAATTGTAGAAACTGTCTCAGTTTTACCACTAAACATCACCTGGCTCCCTGCTGGACACGCTGGGTTCAGTGGGGCTGTGTGTGCAGCATTCTGCAAATCTAGTGCAGATCCTTCTGTTACTAGTCAAGATTATTCTGATTGTTTAGCGTCAGGTTTTTTTCTTTTAATAGAATCTATTCTCTTGTTTTGCTGGAGTCCATAAAAACAAAGGGGAGATGCTTTTTAGAGCTCCTGCATGCTCGTTTTGTGCATGATGAGCAGTACCTAAAGAAAATGCTAGTCATAATCCCACCATGGATATTGTTGCTGGTCTCGTTGTATCTGGTGTGACATGTCAGCTACCACAGTGCCTGAGAACAGATTAAGGAAGAGAAATGAAATATTCCTACCATTACTTCAAGTTAATAGCTGTGTTATTTTAGTGCAAAATGACTTAGGCTGTACTGCCCCAAGTGCCCAAGTGGGAGGAAGGGAGGATGGTATTTTGCCAGTTTCTCTGGAGATGGCAAAACTTGGACTTGACACATCTCTGGTGTTTGTCAGCCTGAGCCTCTCAGTCCAAGAAGGGCATTCTTTTGAATATTCTTCTTTCAACTGTTTACAGTCTGAAGGTAATGGGTAGGACCTGCAAATATTAATAGGTCTACAGTCTGTGTAACAGTGCAATAGAGTTTGATATTAATCTGCCTTATTTAGCAGGCAGGCAGCTGTGGTAGACTTGAGGTGGCTTTACAAATACAGTTAAGGTAAGGCATGATGTAGCAAGTGAGTACTGAAGTGTTAAAAACATCCTTTACTGTGTCCTCTTTGGAAGAATTGACAATCTACTGCTGCTGAAATGGAAATGAAAGAAAGATTTCTGATCGTTTTTAGTAGGAGGATCAAAATTACCTGGAGATTGTATTGTTCATTGATTAAAACAGATACCTTTTGATGAGAGCAGTTAAATTCCCAGCTTTTATCTCTGGAAGGAGTTGTCATTGGCCACTTGCTAAAAACTTTATTGTCATGCCCTAAGTAAGACTTTTTCCCCTGGTAAATCATATACTGTGACAAACATTTAAATCAGTCTGTCTTACAGTAGTGATTAATGTCTGTGATAGCAAAGCAGGAACATTGTATTCTGTTCCATATGTTAAATGACTAAATTACTGTTAAAAAACATCTCCAGTGTTGTGAAAGCTTAGTATACTGATCAACAATTCACTTTATTCATACAGATACTGTTACAGCTAAAAATGTGAAATTGTAGCTCTAGACACTTTTTCAGCCATGTTTGCTCTCCTCTGCTGTTATCTCAGAATAATTTGCAGTTACACATAAATTGCTATTTCAAAAGTTTTTCCTTCTCTTTTAATTTTCTATAGTGAAGTTTGCTGACATTTCAGAAAAGACCACTTAACTTTTTTTTGCAACTAAGAAAGCCTATTTTTTGCCAGAGAAACACTTCTGTGTAGTTACGTTTTCAGCAAAACATTGTACTTTTTATGCTCATTAAGAAATCATGTCAGTAACCATCTCAAGGCTCAATTTACATACTTCTTCATTAATTTGTTGCATATATGACTTGTCCAGAGTTTCAGCTGTCTCTCTGACTGGTATTTGATAATTGGGAACAATTTTCATATTAAAAAGACATTCTAACAATTTGCATAAAATATTTAACAGGAACAATAAAGCTTAAAAAACCCTTGTTTCTGTGGAAGGTTTCCCTTCAGATAATGCAGGACTGTGAGACAGCTTTCTTAAGTAGTTGGAGCAGACGAAACTTTTAGTTTAAAAACCAAAGCTCCAGAACTACAGGGTTGCTATATAACACTGCCTCTGTAAGATGTTGGTCAGTGATATTGCCTAACTGCATATTAGCACATTTGTTTGGTAAATATGAGTCAAACTGGAAAACATATGTGCCCCAGACATCTGGATTCTTAATCTAAATGTGGTTGGAGTGGGAAGAAGGGGCATAAAACTGCTAAATACGTAAATACTTCCAAAATTCTGGGGTTTAGGTGTAGGAAAGGAGCGGGATCTTCTATAATCTGACAGTTTACAAAGTCAGCGATGCTGGTTTAGGACACGCTTTGCTCCGGTGTCACATCTGTGTGAAGAGGCATGTGTTGTACCAGTGTAACTGAGAGGATATCTTTAATGATAGACAAATCAGTCATTGTTTTAGTGCTGTAGTTAATTTCTGATAGATCACTATGGCTTTTCATAGTAGCAGTAACCAAATGTTTATCTTTCAAATAGATTGTACTGAATCTTCTAAAAGTATACTTATAGTATCCAGTATGAAACACAACTGTAGGAAGTCTTAGAAGCAACCAGGGCAAAATTAAAAGTTTGATCTATATTAGGTTACAACAAAGGTGTATCTGGACCATCATCTGTTCTCCAACATTGGTCAAAAGCAGATGAAAGATTGTATTGATTAATCTTGCCTCTAGAACTTTGCTTGAGATTCCTCTGTATTGCTCTGGTGGGATAAGGGCCTCTTTGTAGCACTTATTATACAGTCTGTTTTGAAAGAAACTTTAATATGCAAAATTTAAAAAATGACATTCCATAAATAATACTAAATTTATTTTTCTTATGCAAATAACTTTTGTATTATATTCTGCCACCAGATAAAGTTTTAAGATTTTCAGTCAGGTCTCAGAATTCAGAGATTTGCAAATACTGTCTAATAACAAGAAAAATTTTATT